AAAAAGGATTGGCCGCATTTGGAGGAATATGCCGCGAATGATGGTCCGCCGCTTGGACAGTCCGTTGCGTATATTTTGAGGTACATCAGCATGCACTAAAAATTTGTTTAACATTACGAATGTCTTGTATTTAACAAGAATTAATGAAGAATTTATTTAACAAAATCATTTTTTTCTGGACAAAGTTGCGTCTTTTTGAATATGTTGCTGCCTGAGGTAAGTAATAGATTCCTGTATGAAAAGCCGGGATTCAAAACTTTTGAATACACTGGCTAAAAAAACTGTATTTATGACTTTACCACCATGGGTAAAATAGTAATTTAGCATTTCTCCTTTTTTCGGTTTATGGATTTTATGAACTAAAGAAGTTAAAAAAGGAAAGGAGAGAATTACTGTTGTAAATTTTGTTTACAAATTTCAATAAAATTGCAAGAAGGACTCTTTCTTACTTTTGTATTTGGGCAAATTTTGCATTGCTCATAAATCCGGCTGTTTCTAAATTCTGTCATTTTTATTTATAACATACTTTTCACTTGTTGCCATAGTAAAATACCATGGCTTTGACGAAGTTTTGATTGCAAGAAGCCTGATGCTCCCTAATTTGTTCCATTGGTTAATTAGTTCCTGTTTACTTCATACGTTAAAAATTTAACCGTTTTCAACTTGCATCTTAAATTGCCAAGTTAGTGGCTGTATTTCTTTATTGCTTCGGGATGAGTTGAAAACTACTCTGGTTCCTTAGTAAACGGAAGTATTGCATTTCCTTCTCAGTGCTTTTCCGCTCACTTCTTTCAGGTCTTATTTGCTGTTCCGAGAGCCAGCTGAAAGGCTATCCGCTATTCAGTGGATGTTAGCAAACAAAGTATCGGAGCTAGTGCCGGAAGAGGAACGACGACGAAGTAAAATTGCATCCCTGGAACCATGCCAAGATAGAGAATTGGATGAAACTGAAAGAGATTGTCATTTTCCTTGCTTTACAAGGTTAGGCCAGCGATTTTCGTTCGTGCATCGAAAGTATAATTGATATTGTGCATGAACCAGTTCAGCAGTACTATAGAAATTTTTGCTTTAAGCAGAAATCCACTTTTTTGGGATATGCAGCATGTAGTAGTTCTTTTCAGAAGGCTTTCATTCACGTCACTTCCCTTTGCCTCTTTCTTTCTGATAGAATGAATTTGTGAATGGAACACTGTGGTTGACCTTCACTCAGTTAATTTTTTTTTTGCTTTGGGGAATTTTTCAAAATTTGCCCAGTTTCAGAAGCACATTCGCTTGTATTTACAAAGTTTTATTCGGCACTTTAAATGAAATAGCCAAATGCACACTGTCACTGCGTGCTGTCGAAAAAGGAACAATAACGCAGGATCAATGCTTCGCAAACTGGAGAAAAGCTGCAAGCAGTTTTTGCTTGCTGTCATTGTTAATTCGTGTAAAGGTACGTTTTTAACGCCTTTCACAGTGCAGCAGCGATGCAAAACGTATATTATCGGGGATGTGTAACTAACTGTGTGTTTTTGTGTATGTGTGTGTGTGTGTGTTTGTGGATGTCTGTGTATTTGTGAATTTTTGCCTCGTGTCTTAAACCGAGCAACTGAAAAGTTAGAAAGCTGAAATTTTAGGAGGATTTCTTCTGCTCACATGTGACTCTGCGGGTTAAAAATTCAGCTTTCCATGTATGCGGAGATTTGTACAGAGGCATGCGAAGATTTTTGCATGGAATTACTGACTCGGGCATCAGATTGAACAGCAAACTAGAATTTTGTAATAATATTTCCTCTCATCAGAAATTTATTTGCCTGCGTTCTTGCACAGACATGCTGACATTCCAAGCTAGAAGTTGTTCGTATGTTTCTCGAAACACTGAGCAGAACTGCGCGAAGCGCATGGTCGTCCTGACTGCTGGTGCGCGCCGCTATATTTTTCCCGCAAATCCGTCTCAGATTGAGTTTTTCACAGTTCTACTCATGCTACTTTTTCTTCTTTTTTTCTTCACAGCAAGTTTTCTGAACTGAAATGAAGTAGTGGTACGTTCCATTGCAACAGTTTAGATTTTATCCATTGGGCTCATAAGTGCTAAGCCTTGTTAATTAACATACCGAGAACTGTATGGGGCACCTGTTAGTCGCGATGCGTTGCTTAACATAGTTAAGCTTCGCGGACAGTAAGCAGCCATAAAATACTTTTACGCTTGGGGGTTTATTCAGCTGTTTCTTCTTCTTTGTGATCTGTCTTACCTGCATTGGTGGATCCAGGAGAAGTGGGGAGTAGCGCGGCGATCGAGGGATGGGTTGCGAGCTGGCCGAGGAGAGAAGGGCGTAGTGACAAAGGGAGAAGGGGAGATGGAAAATCGCTCT